GATGCAGCCCATCCCCGCATGGCCGCAGCTGCTCCGGCCTCAGGGCACCCACCTTGTACCAAAAAAAAAAAACCACCACCACCGCCAACGGTTCCGGAAACGCGTCCCCGGCGTCGCGTCGCACCGCATGTCTCTCTCCCCCCCTGCACATCTTCTAACTTTGAAAGCACGAATCTGGGCTGAGACTCACCCGGCCATGCTGCTGGTCATCCCGCAGGAGGAGCGCGTCCTGTTCGGTATCATCCACAGCAGTGGAGAAGCTCCGACACTCTGTTCACTGACTGCTCACTGACGCTCCTCTTTACTACTACTGCTGCTGCTGTTGCTGCTGCTGCTGCTTCTGTGCTGCGCGCACACGCTGACCACGGTGGCGCGCAGGGGTGCGCGGGCACAGCGCAACCTGCCGGAGAATGAACAGATTTAATTTAACAGCGCCACGCCAATAAAATCTGCACGTTCGTTTCACTCTTTAATTGATATTAACCAAATAAAATCGGTTTTCTACAGCGGAGCCCAGGGCTTAACGTGGGACACACGTGATCTCACCGTGACGTCAGATAGAGTCAATAAATAAATTGACTTTTTTGTGCAAAAAAAAAAACACGTCAGGAGGAAGAAACAACTCAAATCAAACAATTTTCATAAATAAATGATAAATGATAAAAATAAAAAAACATACATTCAATTTATGGATTAAATTAAAAACCATAATTATGACGATTTTTTTTTAATAATTAAGAATATTTCAGTGCTAGCCAATCAGGTACAAATACGTGAACAGTTACTACAGCAGGTACTTGATACTTCAACATACTGGTGTATGATGCTTTCAAAAAATAGAGGCAAATACAGAGCGTTCAAAATATAATGGGAGTTTCCCCAGCGGTCTATGCCTATAACAGTACAATACACTATACACATGATTAGAAAAGCAACGCAGTAGAAGACTTTGTATATCAACAATATTGCATCTGAAAATTGCTGTAATTAAAAACATAATTATTGATATAAATAAGTCCTACAGGACTGAGCCCCTCCCCCTTTTTTAATTACAGTTTTTACAGATCATCTTAGAAATGAATAAATAATAAAACACCACACATTCAATTAATCTCAATTTAAAGAAATGCTATAATCGAGATTAATTGATTATTGTTTTGTCTCAAAGGGAATAATTAGAGGCAGAACAGTCAGAATGAATGTTTACACAGAGAGAGAGAGAGAAAAAAACAACAACTAAAATTAAGAAAAGTTGTCAAAGAAAAAACTGAGTTCACCCAGAACAGCAGGTCTGTGGAGACGGAAATGAGTCTCATCAGTTTCAGTGGTACAATATCGTCTGCCTGATCCGCCGTTAGAGACGGTTCAGAAATGAACTCCGTAACACCTTCATGTAGGCGTCAGTGAAGAAGTCGGTGCTGAGAGCGGAGGTGGCCGGCTGACTGTGGGGAGATCCAATTATAGATTCTAAATGGAGAAAGAAAATTATTTCTTATGATTCATAGGAGTTTCTCCGTTCTCCAGAAAACTCCAGAACTTTCCATTACCTGAAAAGACAGACGGACAAACCCGCTCGTCAGTGCTGAAGGTGTGGACTTTGTGTCTGTTCTAGGGAGTATAGATCCTTTAGTTTCTTGGAGTTTACTGTGGTAAGAAAAGAGCTAGAAGAGTTAGAACCTCGGTTCATTTAGCATTTTATTCAAAAGTCAATCTCTCCTCCGGGACCCGAATGTCCCGAACAGGAAACTAAATCTGCGAAATGTCTCGATAAATAATTGACTGGCCTGTACTTAATTATGGCCAACTATTGACCAGTTAATGGAGGCCTGGTGTAATTGTATCTCAGATAGAATCAGCTCACAGTCTGTGCACTTACCTGACTGTCTCAGATACGGGATCGAGTGTCGAGAATCGGAATCGTCACGCAGACAAATGTACTTCGTTTTGAAAGATAAAATGAAATATTCACACATACACAGAACAATGTAAAGTATTATATTCGTATGAACGTAGTGGTGGAAGGTTGCTAGAAAGAATGTTTGATTTTTTTTTCCTTGTACGATCAAAATATTCTCAATGACATCTGAAGCTGCCGTACGTCCTTGTCACATCAAAACGATACGTCGCAGCGTGATCTAGTCTCTCTCTCTACATTCATACATTCATACATGCATGTATGCAGAATGGCTGAGGAATCATGAATTATGTATAAATAATGTACTCATGCTAGAGTGAGTAAATGCATGTTTGAAAAGACACAGTCGCAGTGACTCTAGTCAGGCTGTTAAAATTAGTAAGTGAAATGGAACGAGGGGAAGTGTCAGCCAGCTGAGCAGCAGTCATTACTGTTTTGTATTTTGTCTTATCTCCTTCACCTTCTCCTCCCAGCTGCCCTCCCCCTCCCTCTCCCCCACAAATCTGAGATGATCTGGGGGTAGAAAATAAAAAAAACCTGTCTTTCAGTGACACGGGGGGGGCAGGGGGGGAGGAGACCTTTCTGTGGCGAGCTGCGAAAATGCATGAAACCAGCCGTCCCTGAAATCCTGCATCAGATTGGCTAAGCTGCTTACTGAGAACATTTAGTGATTCAGTAAATACTTTATCTCATATTTTGTGTATCTACACAAAAAGTTTAGAGTTGAAACTGTTTATTTGTGTACTGATGTAAGACCAAGTTAGAATGAACCGGATTGGTCGGTCAGTTTGGGACAAATTTCCTCCATAAGAACGTCTTCGCTCTGGAGAATATAAAGTACCAGCTGCACTTTTTTCCATCACATTTCTGTATTTTTCTTTTGGCAAACAGAATGCTTAAGTACCCAACCCCTGGTTAGGGGACCAGTGTCGGTCCATAGGTCGTTTGGTAGCGGGCCTCAGTGGGACACAGTGAAAAAAAATGTAAGTTCCGATGTCAATATTTGCAGCCGTTTTCCCACAAACTGCGGTAAACGTCTCAGGACTCAACAAACAATTCCGGGACATTCGGCAAAACTCAAACTCAGGCACTGCGTTATCAGGTTTTCATAATTGGAGGAAAAAACTATTACATTATGCTAATATCTGGCCAATAATATCGGACATCCCTAAATATGACGTAAACTAAAATTATAGTTGAAATGATTCCCACTTCAGAGTTTTCTTCTATAATCTGATAACTTACTTTGACTCTGTTGTTACGACAGACAAACCAGAACCACAATTCAATATCGTTAATAAAGGGTGTTTCATGGCAACACAGCGTCCATTGTTCCTCAGCCCAGGTG